GGGGGGGTAAGTGTTTTACGGGGCTTTCAACTGTATAAGGTCATATGAGCGGGCAGGACACATTAAACATTTCCAGTGGGTATGAAATCTGTAATTTTGCCCAGGTGGCATCCGAAGCCTACTCTTATCGTTTTAGGACCACCAAGGGATCTTTAACGTGCGCAACTTGCACACAGGACCTCCGAGATGTTTCGCATTTGTCCGAGAAGGCTAGGTGTAGATCTTACTCACCAGAAGATCAGGGGTGCGGCTAAAAGACAGCAGTAAGAAGGAGCCAATGAGTGGTAGAAGAAAGGCTGCAGAAAGTGTCAGGAGCCCATATGAGTGGGCATAGGAGGTGAGGTGAGGTGAGGGGGGGGGGGGGGGGGGAGGGGACAAAACGTGGAGATGAAATCAGACGACGACATAAACTCTGACTAAAACTGAAACTGAAAGGGAAAAAGACTAGTCGAAAGACATTGGAAAGAATAGTTACAGTACTGTCGGCTATCTTTGTGGTGTTTCTTGTGGGCGGTTGGCAGGTGCTCTGCTACTGTTGTCTCCTTCTTTCCTATCAAAAATGTAATCGTCCTTGTCTCTCCTCATATGTTCTGTACATACGTGTATTATCTAAAGAATATCATTCGTTAACTTTTTCATGGATTAACAATATTCCGTTTTTTTATCTCTTTTTCAGCAAATGAGGTGAGTATTGTTTAATTGTCACTTACGGTTCATAAGTTTTGCTTAATTAAATTCAGCTTCGATAGGTAGATGGGAAGGGGACAAGAGGGGGGGGGGGTGACCGATGGAAGATGGATTTTGGACAAAATGGAATGATGGTAAGAATGCTTGTACTGATGATAGACAGACATGCAGACAGACAGACAGACAGACAGACAGACAGACAGACAGACAGACAGACAGACAGACAGACAGACAGACAGACAGACAGACGGACGGACGGACGGACAGACAGACAGACAAACAGACAGATAGATAGATAGACAGACAGACAGACAGACAGACAGACAGACAGACAGAAAGACAGACAGACAGACAGACAGACAGACAGACAGACAGGCAGGCAGGCAGGCAGGCAGGCAGGCAGGCAGGCAGGCAGGCAGGCAGGCAGGCAGGCAGACAGACAGACAGACAGACATCTACAAATAAATGTTCCCTTAACAAAGAAACGTCGGTTCTTTTTTTCTCCTGAACTCTGATGAGGTTTTAGTTTTAGTAGAGGTTTTACGGCACTCGCAACTGCATAAGGTCATATGAGCGCCAGAAGATTAGAGGTGTTACAAGAGAGTAACAAACATAAAAAAGAAGAAGGGGAGATAAGGACGATAGATGTTGGATAGGAAAGAAGGAGCAAACCACACTAGAGCACCCGCCAACCACCCACAGATCTGATGAGGTAAACAGAAGCACAATAATGACGCCGGACTACAACGCTGAGTGGACGAAACTGTCAACAGAAACCAGAAAAGAGTAAAGTGTCGGGGAAAAAAGGGCTATTGGAGAAATATGCAGACATGATCAACTTAGGGAAATGGCGGGAGGGAAAAAAGAGGGTGGGGGGTCATGTGTGAGAGTTTGAGTGTGTCTGTGAGCCTCTGTGTGTCTGTGAGTGCGTGCGTGTGTGTGTGTGTGTGTGTGTGTGTGTGTGTGTGTGTGTGTGTGTGTGTGAGTGTGTGTTACTAAAAAAATAAACGTCCCATCTATCTAGTGCTGTGAAAAATGAGGCAGACAGACTCAAAATGGAGAAAGAAGATGGACCATGTGGTAAATATTTTTGCAGAGTAAAAAGAAAAAATAAATAATTCAACTATGTTCAAATATGCGACGAAAGAATGAGTACGAGAGAGCGGCCAAACGGAGAGATCGCCGGAGACTATTTAATGTTGGTATAAAATCATTGGCACAGACGTGATGAATCAGACACCACACCACACACAAGCAAACGTGGATGGACTGATAATGGATTCAGTCGAGGCCGCCCCTAAAACCTAGTCCACAGACTAGGGATCCTAACGGTTTGCTTGGTTATAATCGGGAAAGTTGGACCTCTATCGTTCTCCGCTTTCTCTCCTTTTATCTCTGAAAGAATAGGAGAGGTAGTATTCTCTCTCTCCTGGAGACATTATCCTTCGTTTATCTCTCCGATACACTATACTCTCTATATCTTTCCTTCTTCGTTTGCTGTCTCTGTTTCTTTTCCCACTAGTCCCCTCTCTCTCTCTCTCT